TGAGGGGTTCAGGGAGGTGAGGGGTTCAGGGGTGAGGGGTTCAGGGAGGTGAGGGGTTCAGGGAGGTGAGGGGTTCAGGGAGGTGAGGGGTTCAGGGAGGTGAGGGGTTCAGGGAGGTGAGGGGTTCAGGGAGGTGAGGGGTTCAGGGAGGTGAGGGGTTCAGGGAGGTGAGGGGTTCAGGGAGGTGAGGGGTTCAGGGAGGTGAGGGGTTCAGGGAGGTGAGGGGTTCAGGGAGGTGAGGGGTTCAGGGAGGTGAGGGGTTCAGGGAGGTGAGGGGTTCAGGGAGGTGAGGGGTTCAGGGAGGTGAGGGGTTCAGGGAGGTGAGGGGTTCAGGGAGGTGAGGGGTTCAGGGAGGTGAGGGGTTCAGGGAGGTGAGGGGTTCAGGGAGGTGAGGGGTTCAGGGAGGTGAGGGGTTCAGGGAGGTGAGGGTTCAGGGAGGTGAGGGTTCAGGGAGGTGAGGGGTTCAGGGAGGTGAGGGGTTCGGGAGGTGAGGGGTTCAGGGAGGTGAGGGGTTCAGGGAGGTGAGGGGTTCAGGGAGGTGAGGGGTTCAGGGAGGTGAGGGGTTCAGGGAGGTGAGGGGTTCAGGGAGGTGAGGGGTTCAGGGAGGTGAGGGGTTCAGGGAGGTGAGGGGTTCAGGGAGGTGAGGGGTTCAGGGAGGTGAGGGGTTCAGGGAGGTGAGGGGTTCAGGGAGGTGAGGGTTCAGGGAGGTGAGGGGTTCAGGGAGGTGAGGGGTTCAGGGAGGTGAGGGGTTCAGGGAGGTGAGGGGTTCAGGGAGGTGAGGGGTTCAGGAGGTGAGGGGTTCAGGGAGGTGAGGGGTTCAGGGAGGTGAGGGGTTCAGGGAGGTGAGGGGTTCAGGGAGGTGAGGGTTCAGGGAGGTGAGGGGTTCAGGGAGGTGAGGGGTTCAGGGAGGTGAGGGGTTCAGGGAGGTGAGGGGTTCAGGGAGGTGAGGGGTTCAGGGAGGTGAGGGGTTCAGGGAGGTGAGGGGTTCAGGGAGGTGAGGGGTTCAGGGAGGTGAGGGTTCAGGAGTGAGGGGTTCAGGGAGGTGAGGGGTTCAGGGAGGTGAGGGGTTCAGGGAGGTGAGGGGTTCAGGGAGGTGAGGGTTCAGGTGAGGGTTCAGGGAGGTGAGGGTTCAGGGAGGTGAGGGGTTCAGGGAGGTGAGGGGTTCAGGGAGGTGAGGGGTTCAGGGAGGTGAGGGGTTCAGGGAGGTGGGGGGTTCAGGGAGGTGAGGGGTTCAGGGAGGTGAGGGGTTCAGGGAGGTGAGGGGTTCAGGGAGGTGAGGGGTTCAGGGAGGTGAGGGGTTCAGGGAGGTGAGGGGTTCAGGGAGGTGAGGGTTCAGGGAGGTGAGGGGTTCAGGGAGGTGAGGGGTTCAGGGAGGTGAGGGGTTCAGGGAGGTGAGGGGTTCAGGGAGGTGAGGGGTTCAGGGAGGTGAGGGGTTCAGGGAGGTGAGGGGTTCAGGGAGGTGAGGGGTTCAGGGAGGTGAGGGGTTCAGGGAGGTGAGGGGTTCAGGGAGGTGAGGGGTTCAGGGAGGTGAGGGGTTCAGGGAGGTGAGGGGTTCAGGGAGGTGAGGGGTTCAGGGAGGTGAGGGGTTCAGGGAGGTGAGGGGTTCAGGGAGGTGAGGGGTTCAGGGAGGTGAGGGGTTCAGGGAGGTGAGGGGTTCAGGGAGGTGAGGGGTTCAGGGAGGTGAGGGGTTCAGGGAGGTGAGGGGTTCAGGGAGGTGAGGGGTTCAGGGAGGTGAGGGGTTCAGGGAGGTGAGGGGTTCAGGGAGGTGAGGGGTTCAGGGAGGTGAGGGGTTCAGGGAGGTGAGGGGTTCAGGGAGGTGAGGGGTTCAGGGAGGTGAGGGGTTCAGGGAGGTGAGGGGTTCAGGGAGGTGAGGGGTTCAGGGAGGTGAGGGGTTCAGGGAGGTGAGGGGTTCAGGGAGGTGAGGGGTTCAGGGAGGTGAGGGGTTCAGGGAGGTGAGGGGTTCAGGGAGGTGAGGGGTTCAGGGAGGTGAGGGGTTCAGGGAGGTGAGGGGGGGGGGTTCAGGGAGGTGAGGGGTTCAGGAGGTGAGGGGTTCAGGGAGGTGAGGGGTTCAGGGAGGTGAGGGGTTCAGGGAGGTGAGGGGTTCAGGGAGGTGAGGGGTTCAGGGAGGTGAGGGGTTCAGGGAGGGTGAGGGGTTCAGGGAGGTGAGGGGTTCAGGGAGGTGAGGGGTTCAGGGAGGTGGGGGGTTCAGGGAGGTGAGGGGTTCAGGGAGGTGAGGGGTTCAGGGAGGTGAGGGGTTCAGGGAGGTGAGGGGTTCAGGGAGGTGAGGGGTTCAGGGAGGTGAGGGGTTCAGGGAGGTGAGGGGTTCAGGGAGGTGAGGGGTTCAGGGAGGTGAGGGGTTCAGGGAGGTGAGGGGTTCAGGGAGGTGAGGGGTTCAGGAGGTGAGGGGTTCAGGGAGGTGAGGGGTTCAGGGAGGTGAGGGTTCAGGGAGGTGAGGGGTTCAGGGAGGTGAGGGGTTCAGGGAGGTGAGGGGCGGGGGTTCAGGGAGGTGAGGGGTTCAGGGAGGTGAGGGGTTCAGGAGGTGAGGGGTTCAGGAGGTGAGGGGTTCAGGGATGAGTGAGGGGTTCAGGGAGGTGAGGGGTTCAGGGAGGTGAGGGGTTCAGGGAGGTGAGGGGTTCAGGGAGGTGAGGGGTTTCAGGGAGGTGAGGGGTTCAGGAGAGGGTTGGAGGGGGGTTCAGGGAGGTGAGGGGTTCAGGGAGGTGAGGGGTTCAGGGAGGTGAGGGGTTCAGGGAGGTGAGGGGTTCAGGGAGGTGAGGGGTTCAGGGAGGTGAGGGGTTCAGGGAGGTGAGGGGTTCAGGGAGGTGAGGGGTTCAGGGAGGTGAGGGGTTCAGGGAGGTGAGGGGTTCAGGGGAGGTGAGGGGTTCAGGGAGGTTGAGGGGTTCAGGGAGGTGAGGGGTTCAGGGAGGTGAGGGGTTCAGGGAGGTGAGGGGTTCAGGGAGGTGAGGGGTTCAGGCAGGTGTAGATGGCTGATTTTGGCAGCGACGGCATGCCGCCTCTGGTGGGCAAACTTGGAGAAAGAAGTGTAGAAAGGGCCCGGGCGTGGCCTGTGCGGGCAACCGGGAGTGGAGGGCGAACCGACGGGCAGGTGAAGGTGGGGATGTGAACAGCGTGAGGTGAGGGTTTTCTTTGCCGCATGCGCACTGTTGATTGTGAGAGTGGGAAGGGGGCGCTCGTGTGGCGGAAAAGGGTGGGAGGGCGGGAGAGAGGGAGTGGGCAGCGAAGGGATGGAACGGAATGGAAGGGCGAGTGGGGGGTTGCGAAGAGGGTGAGCATGAGCATGAAGGTTGGCCTTGGCAGATTAGAAGTCTAAAAAAAATCCTCAAAAATCCTCTCTGTATAAAAACCGCATGATAGAAGTCTAGTCTTGAGGCACCTAAAAAATCCTCAGTATAAAAACGGCGTGATAGAAGTCTAGTTTTGAGGCGCCTAAAAAATCCTCTCTGTATAAAACCGCGTGACAGAAGTCTAGTTTTGAGGCGCCTAAAAAATCCTCTGTATAAAAACGGCGTGACAGAAGTATAGTTTTGAGGCGTGTCAAAACGAGGGTGAGCATGAGCATGAAGGTTGGCCTTGGCAGACGCGCCTTGGCAGACGCGCATTGCCCATTGTGACTGGGAAGGGAGAGATCTCCGGACATAATCCCACTGCACTCTCTGCACTCACTGCGCTCGCAGCGCTCACTGCACTCACTGCGCCCTCTGCGCTCACTGCGCTCACTGCGCTCACTGGAATTATGTCCGAGGATCTGTGAGCAGGGTGAGGTGAGGTTTGGCTTGCGAGACGAGCATTGCTTGTTGTGAGTGGGAAGGGGGGGCTCGTGTGGTGCAGAAGCAAAGGCCGCAAGCACGTGGTATGAGAGTCAATCTAAAGCACCTGAGAGCACCTGAGGGCCGAAAGCACCTGAGAGCACCTGAGGGCTGAAAGCACCTGAGAGCACCTGAGGGCTGAAAGCACCTGCGAGCACCTGGGAGCACCTGAGGGCTGTAAGCACCTGAGAGCACCTGAGTGCTGAAAGCACCTGAGAGCACCTGAGCACCTTAGGGCTGAAAGCACCTGAGAGCACCTGAGGGCCGAAAGCACCTGAGAGCACCTGGGAGCACCCGGGGGCTGAAAGCACCTGAGAGCACCTGAGGGCCGAAAGCACCTGAGAGCACCTGGGAGCACCCGAGGGCTGAAAGCACCTGAGAGCACCTGGGAGCACCTGAGGGCTGAAAGCACCTGAGAGCACCAGAGGGCCGAAAGCACCTGAGAGCACCTGGGAGCACCTGAGGGCTGAAAGCACCTGCGAACACCTGAGGGCTGAAAGCACGTGGGAGTGGAAGGCGAGTCGGCAGGTCTCTCAAAAAGGGGTGCTTCGAGGGTGGCGATGGTGGCATTGGAATCGACCTCAAAGAGAGGGAGGGGCGAGGGATGAGAGGAGAGGAGGGATGAGAGGAGGGGAGGGATGAGAGGAGAGGAGGGATGAGAGGAGAGGAGGGATGAGAGGAGAGGAGGGATGAGAGGAGGGGAGGGATGAGAGGAGGGGAGGGATGAGAGGAGAGGAGGGATGAGAGGAGGGGAGGGATGAGAGGAGGGGAGGGATGAGAGGAGAGGAGGGATGAGAGGAGGGGAGGGATGAGAGGAGGGGAGGGATGAGAGGAGAGGAGGGATGAGAGGAGGGGAGGGATGAGAGGAGGGGAGGGATGAGAGGAGAGGAGGGATGAGAGGAGGGGAGGGATGAGAGGAGGGGAGGGATGAGAGGAGAGGAGGGATGAGAGGAGGGGAGGGATGAGAGGAGGGGAGGGATGAGAGGAGAGGAGGGATGAGAGGAGGGGAGGGATGAGAGGAGGGGAGGGATGAGAGGAGAGGAGGGATGAGAGGAGGGGAGGGATGAGAGGAGGGGAGGGATGAGAGGAGAGGAGGGATGAGAGGAGGGGAGGGATGAGAGGAGGGGAGGGATGAGAGGAGGGGAGGGATGAGGAGCGTGAAAGTACCCAACCCACCTGGGGGTGGAAGGCCAGCTGCCATGTCTCAGCCGGGGGTGCTTCCAGGGTGACGATGGTGGCGTTGGAATCGACGTCAAAGACCCGCACAAAGCAGTCCAGCGAGGAGGACGCCGCTCTGGAGCTGGATGGACAGGCGGCTAGCGCCACCACACCTGGCGCAATGGGAGAGAAATGTGTGAAAAGAGGAGATTCACCCACACGCGAAGATCAACGTCGATTTCCCACACGAAGCAGGCCAGCGAGGAGGACGCTGCTCGCTGGACGGACAGGAGCCAGACGGACACGCGGCAAGCTAGGGCGACAACACCTGGAGAACGGGGTGGGGGCATGGAAAGGGGGGGGAAGGGGGGGGAGAACTGTTGGAGTGGACGTCTAAGGCCCTCATGAAACAGGTCAGGAAAAGAAAGGAGGGCAACCAGATGGGGTGCTGCTACACGACCAGGGGGGGGGGGTGCGGGGGGGGGTGCGGAGGGGGGAAGAGAGGGTGCGTACGGGGGTGCTATGAGTCCACTCAAAACACTCAGGGCGGGTGGGTGCGGGGTGAAAAGGGAGACGTGGGAGAGCGGTGAGGGATGAGCGCGATGAGGGTCGGATGTCCGTGTTCCGTCCCTGTCGCCTCACTCAGCGTATGTGTTGTGTGACAATGTAACGAGGTGACTTTTGAGTCGACTCAAAAGTCACCTCGTTCCGTCCCTGTCGCCTCACTCAGCGTGTGGCCGCTGTTCGCCCTGTCGCCCCTCGCACAGAGAGGGGAGGGACAGCGGCAAGTGACCCGGAAAGAGGAGCACAGACTGTTCCAGAGGAGCACGGAAGTGTCGCCAGTTTCTGTCGCCTCACCCAGCGTGTGGCCGCTGTTCGTTCGCACGCCCGTCAGATCGTCGCCGGACCACACGCGCACCGTCTCGTCGACGGATCCCGTCAGCAGCACCGCCTGCGGCCGGGAGTCCGTCGGCGGCGCCCACGCGGCCGCCCAGATTCCGTCATCGTGGGCGTCGGGCAGCTGCTTGATTGGGGAGATCTTCGGCATTGCGCGCCGAGTGGGGGATTAATGACGGAGATAACCAGGATCCCTGGTTGGAGCACCTGGAAACCTGGATATACTTAGCTAAGACAGTACATAACGAGGCTATTCTTGACTAGAGGTTCTGTCTGCTGGCAACGACGTCGCTGACTCTGGATGGGAATTGTCAAATCTGATCAGTAGGGGCAGTGAGCAGTCCGCTTGCCGACGACATACGGTGTGGTGCAGTGCGGTCTTACTCTTTAACACAAAATATATGCAAGCCTAGATGGAGTCACATTACATTTCGACTACGGTATGCTGTCATAACTCCCATTGTGAAGAGTAACTTTTTATATTTATCGCAATCAGTTTATAGATCTAGGGAATAAAATAATGGAAACCCGAACTTTAGAAAATGGGTGTGCCTAAGGGATTTTTTTTTGCGCAAATTATTAGCTTGCTTCTACACAAGAAGTGCAATTCAACCTCCTTATAGCTTGCTTCGACGTCTGCGTGTGAAAGTCACAACGCTTTTCGTCAATCCCCTAGCCGCATTTTCGACCTGGTTCGCCTCGGTATGATCTTGTGGTGAGGGATGGGATTAAAACCCTCTGACGTGGCAAGGGACCAGCACCGCTGACACGGCTCACACCAACCACAAGCCTCCCACCAGTTACCGAGCCGAACCGAACTACAGACCTCTGCTGTACCGTCGCTCCTCTCTAGGCTCCAGCCAAACCACTGGCCAGATAACTAGATTCCTCCATAACCCGACCAGAAAATTTTTAGTCAAGCCACACATCCTACCATCTAAGGACGTGCAACAGCGTCAACGTTCTTAGAGACCGAGGTAACATTCCTCCTCACGCAGTGTCCCTCGTGCTGCGCGGCTCCACCCTGCGCCTGATTATTGTCAAATCGATCAAAAGGCGTTTAAAAGCGACTTAACATGGCCGCCGTTCTCTCCAATGCTGCCGTCGTGGCCACACCAGCATGCACCGCAGCACCGCGAGCCGACGCCCGCCAGACCGCCTCCACTGCCGCCGTCGCTGGCGTGAGACACGCGTCGGCTGGCGCCGCTTCGGCGTGGAAGCAGGGGGGTGCGTCGCTGCAGCTACGAAGCAAATGCCACGTGGCACCGGCGACGAGGCGGGCGGCATTCAGAGTGTACGCAGCGGAAGGGAACCCCGCGACCGGTAAGTGTGAGGGTCGTGGGTTCTGTGCGTCGATTAACATACTGGCTGCATCTATGGTGCCCGCAGCGGGGGATTTCGCGACTGATGAGTGAACGCGTGAGCGACGGACGGGTGTTGCTTTGAGTCGACATAGAAACACACTGGATCGCATTTACAGTTAACGCGGCCGAATGAATCCCTGCGTTAACTCTAAATGCGAAAGTGGATGAGAGCTGAGGTGGGTGAGTGAGAGACCCGTCGGGATTTGAGACGAATCCAAATCGATTCGTATTTGGCGGCTTTCAGAGCGTACGCGGCGGAAGGGAACCCCGCGACCGGTGGGTGAGTTGACGTGTGAGTGGCCGGGCGTGCTCCCACTCGACTGGAATTGAAATGCATCGGCAACGATGACGGTGTTTGCAGCGGATGCGAATCTCCCGCTACCGCTATCTGCGTGCGATCGCATTTTGAGTCGACTCAAAAGCAACGATGAGGGTGTTTGCAACGGATGACAATCCCGCGATCGTTGCAAACACCCTCGCCCCGGACGATGAGGGTATCTGCGGGCGATCTCCGCAGCAACGCGCTCCTCCGCCGTCGCTCTTTCCACCCCGCCGTCACATTACCTCCCCTCCCCCCGTTCCCCCTCCACAACAAACAATCCGTTTCCCCTGCGCTTTGTTGGCGGAGGGCATTGCATTCTCGTGGAGCGGGCGGGGGTCGAAACTGGCTTCCCTCATTCGCGCAGCCGTGGCGGAGGACGTGACCTTCTCGTGGAGCGGGTGGGAGTCGGCGGTGATATCCTCATTCTCCCACGTCCCTCTTCCTCGTGCCCCGCCATGCGCATATCCGTCGCCTTCCCCCTTCCCCGTGCCTTCCCCCCCTTCCCCGTGCCTTTTCCCCTTCCAGCCGTGGCGGAGGACGTGAGCTTCTCGTGGAGCGGGCCGGGCGCGGAGGTGCTTCTAACGGGCGACTTCCTCAACTGGGAGGTCAAGATCCCGCTGGTCAAGCTGCCCAACGGCACCTTCTCCGCGCGCCAGGTAACGTGCTCCTCCCCCCCCGCCCCCCCATCTCCTCCTTTCACGCGACCGGCCAGTCCTTCGCCCCTCTTACCCGCCCAGCCCTCCCCTCCCCCTCGCCCCTCCGCCTTCCCTCCCCTCCCCTTGCCGCACTTTTCCACCGAACCGTGCTCTCTTCCCCTGCATTTCGTGGCGCGTGGCTTAATTGCGCAAAACATAAAGCGTGGCACGCATCCATCGTGCCAGGAGCTATAACCGCCATAAAAGGGCGATGTCTTACCTTTCATATCCGCCACAGTAGGTCAGTGTCAAGTGAAGCGCCGCGTCATATCCCCACCGACCGACCTAGCAGGTTGCTGATCAGGTAGAGGAGCATCCGCGGCATGAAGCAGACTAACGCCACCCAGTAGACTGACACCGCCCATCCTCCCCTCCGCTGCACGCATGACATGTTGCCTTGCCGCATGACTCGTTATTCAAAGCCCCCAGCAGAAGCTCCCTCCAGGCCGCTATGCGTACAAGTCCATAGTGGACGGCGTGTGGCAGCACTCGCCTGCCCTCACACCCCTCAAATCCACCCCCATTCTTGCCTCTGCTGCTCTATTCCTCCTGTACGTTCTGTGTTAGCAGAAGCTCCCCCCCGGGCGCTACGCCTACAAGTTCATAGTGGACGGCGTGTGGCAGCACTCCCCCGACGACGCCACCATTTCTGACGGCGCTGGCGGCTTCAACAATTCGCTCGTCATCGAAGGTGAGTGCAGTGGAGTCTCCTCGAGGGCTATACCTGTTGCCACATGTGTGCGTGGTGGGCTGCTTGCATGTGCGCGCCTGGCAGCACTCGTCCGATGACGCCACGCCACCATCTCTGATGGCGCTGGCGGCTTCTGCAACTCGCTCGTCATCGAAGGTCGGAGCAGGTGCGGGTGCAGGCGCCGCAAGGCTCGAGGTGTGCGTGTTGTTGTGTGTCGCATGTGCTCATGGTGGCCGGTGCTCTCTCCCACTTCACCCTGCATGGTGGCCAGTGCTCTCTCCCACTTCACCATGCATGGTGGCCAGTGCTCTCTCCCACTTCACCATGCATGGTGGCCAGTGCTCTCTCCCACTTCACCCTGCATGGTGGCCAGTGCTCTCTCCCACTTCACCATGCATGGTGGCCAGTGTTCTCTCCCACTTCACCATGCATGGTGGCCAGTGCTCTCTCCCACTTCACCATGCATGGTGGCCAGTGCTCTCTCCCACTTCACCATGCATGGTGGCCAGTGCTCTCTCCCACTTCACCATGCATGGTGGCCAGTGCTCTCTCCCACTTCACCATGCATGGTGGCCAGTGCTCTCTCCCACTTCACCATGCATGGTGGCCAGTGCTCTCTCCCACTTCACCATGCATGGTGGCCAGTGCTCTCTCCCACTTCACCATGCATGGTGGCCAGTGCTCTCTCCCACTTCACCATGCATGGTGGCCAGTGCTCTCTCCCACTTCACCATGCATGGTGGCCAGTGCTCTCTCCCACTTCACCATGCATGGTGGCCAGTGCTCTCTCCCACTTCACCATGCATGGTGGCCAGTGCTCTCTCCCACTTCACCATGCATGGTGGCCAGTGCTCTCTCCCACTTCACCATGCATGGTGGCCAGTGCTCTCTCCCACTTCACCATGCATGGTGGCCAGTGCTCTCTCCCACTTCACCATGCATGGTGGCCAGTGCTCTCTCCCACTTCACCATGCATGGTGGCCAGTGCTCTCTCCCACTTCACCATGCATGGTGGCCAGTGCTCTCTCCCACTTCACCCTGCATGGTGGCCAGTGCAAGAGTTGTGCGTGTTGATGTGTGTGCTTCGCATGTGTGTGCATCGTGAGCTGCATGCCTGTGCTACTCTGCCTGCTGATGAAGGTCATTTTTTAGCACTCTCAAAAATCACCTGTCACATGTGTGCATGGTGGCCTGCATGCATGCATGTGCGAGTCTGGCTGCTGATGTCACCACCATCTCGGACAGCTTCAACAGCGCTGGCAGCTTCACCAACCCCATTCCCCCATCCGTCCATCCCTTCCCCAGAGCCCAAAAGGGCCGTAGCTGCCCAGCCTGACCCCGAGGCAGCCTTAACTGCGGCTGCCTCTGCTGCTGCTGCTGCCCTGTGATGACCCTCGGCGGAGGGTGCACCGGCAGAGGCAGCAGCAGCTGCGGCTGCCTCCGCTGCTGTGATGACCCTCGGCGGAGGGTGCACCGGCAGAGGCAGCAGCAGAGGCGGCAGCAGCTGCGGCTGCCTCCGCTGCTGTGATGACCCTCGGCGGAGGGTGCACCGGCAGGGGAGGTGGTGGTGGGAAAAGCAGCGGGGAATGCTGTGGGGAAGAAGGTTGTTGCCAAGGCCATAGGGCTGGCCATGAGTGACGACCGAAACATTCCCATATCCCCTTCCCCCTTCCTTACCCCCTCAGAGCCAAAGAAGCCCAAGGCAGCAGAGCCCGAGCCAGAGGCACCCGCCCCTGCTGCCCCTGCTGCTGCTGCTGCTCCTACGCCCAAGGCGGCGGGCGCGCCGGCAGGAAAGAAGGTGGTTGGGAAAGCAGTGGGCAAGGCGGTTGGGAAGAAGGTGGTTGCCAAGGCCATCGGGCTGGCCATGAGTGAAGACGTGATCCCGGCGCTGCTGGCTGGGCTGGGGAAGGAGGACGGCGTGAAGAACGTGGAGATCAACTTCACCGACAATGTGGTGCGTGGGGGGGGGGGAGAGGTGAACGGGAAGAGGGAGTGGGGATGGGAATGATTGAGGTTATGGGTGAATCAAATCATGTAAACTTAGCTCTGCTGGGGGGCCTGGGGGAAGAGGTAGGGGTGAAGCACGTTGAAGTCAACTTCGCAGTCAATGTGGTGCGGTGAGTACAGGGGAGATTGGAAGGGGGAGCGGTGTGGGGAGGTGGGGGGGTGATGCGGGTGATGCGGGTGATGCCCCCACAATCACATCCATATGAAGTGGGGGGGGGAGGGGGGGGGGAGAAATGCGGAGAACAGGACAATGAGGAAGGAGGGGGACGGGGTGAGGGCAGGTAAAGGGCAGATGGCTTACGACGAGTGCGAATTTTATTTAGTGCTGCTGGACGGGGTGGGGAAGAAGAAGGGCGTTGAAAAGTGAGGGAGATGAGTACCGGTGCTCTTTCAGTGAGGGATGGGGAAGAAGAGAGGTGAGGGATGGGGAAGAAGAGAGGTGAGGGCTGGGGAAGAAGAGAGGTGAGGGATGGGAAAGAAGAGAGGTGAGGGATGGGGAAGAAGAGAGGTGAGGGATGGGGAAGAAGAGAGGTGAGGGATGGGGAAGAAGAGAGGTGAGGGATGGGGAAGAAGAGAGGTGAGGGCTGGGGAAGAAGAGAGGTGAGGGATGGGGAAGAAGAGAGGTGAGGGATGGGGAAGAAGAGAGGTGAGGGATGGGGAAGAAGAGAGGTGAGGGATGGGGAAGAAGAGAGGTGAGGGCTGGGGAAGAAGAGAGGTGAGGGATGGGGAAGAAGAGAGGTGAGGGATGGGGAAGAAGAGAGGTGAGGGATGGGGAAGAAGAGAGGTGAGGGATGGGGAAGAAGAGAGGTGAGGGATGGGGAAGAAGAGAGGTGAGGGATGGGGAAGAAGAGAGGTGAGGGCTGGGGAAGAAGAGAGGTGAGGGCTGGGGAAGAAGAGAGGTGAGGGATGGGGAAGAAGAGAGGTGAGGGATGGGGAAGAAGAGAGGTGAGGGATGGGGAAGAAGAGAGGTGAGGGCTGGGGAAGAAGAGAGGTGAGGGCTGGGGAAGAAGAGAGGTGAGGGATGGGGAAGAAGAGAGGTGAGGGCTGGGGAAGAAGAGAGGTGAGGGATGGGGAAGAAGAGAGGTGAGGGCTGGGGAAGAAGAGAGGTGAGGGATGGGGAAGAAGAGAGGTGAGGGCTGGGGAAGAAGAGAGGTGAGGGATGGGGAAGAAGAGAGGTGAGGGATGGGGAAGAAGAGAGGTGAGGGATGGGGAAGAAGAGAGGTGAGGGCTGGGGAAGAAGAGAGGTGAGGGCTGGGGAAGAAGAGAGGTGAGGGATGGGGAAGAAGAGAGGTGAGGGCTGGGGAAGAAGAGAGGTGAGGGATGGGGAAGAAGAGAGGTGAGGGCTGGGGAAGAAGAGAGGTGAGGGATGGGGAAGAAGAGAGGTGAGGGCTGGGGAAGAAGAGAGGTGAGGGATGGGGAAGAAGAGAGGTGAGGGATGGGGAAGAAGAGAGGTGAGGGCTGGGGAAGAAGAGAGGTGAGGGATGGGGAAGAAGAGAGGTGAGGGATGGGGAAGAAGAGAGGTGAGGGATGGGGAAGAAGAGAGGTGAGGGCTGGGGAAGAAGAGAGGTGAGGGATGGGGAAGAAGAGAGGTGAGGGCTGGGGAAGAAGAGAGGTGAGGGATGGGGAAGAAGAGAGGTGAGGGCTGGGGAAGAAGAGAGGTGAGGGATGGGGAAGAAGAGAGGTGAGGGCTGGGGAAGAAGAGAGGTGAGGGATGGGGAAGAAGAGAGGTGAGGGCTGGGGAAGAAGAGAGGTGAGGGATGGGGAAGAAGAGAGGTGAGGGATGGGGAAGAAGAGAGGTGAGGGAAGGGGAAGAAGAGAGGTGAGGGATGGGGAAGAAGAGAGGTGAGGGATGGGGAAGAAGAGAGGTGAGGGCATATTCGTCATCATGCACCCATCACACCATGAGGTGAGGGCATACCCGTCATCATGCACCCATCACACCATGCCTGCCGCACGCCATGAGGTGAGGGGATGCCCATCCACCACCCATCACACCACCCATCCACCACCCATCACACCACCCATCCACCACCCACCCAATACCCTCCCCATCCTCCCATTCTTGACATGTCGTGTCTTAACCTCTCAGTTTCATCTTCGTCCTTCGCAGCTCGTCTCTACCCCCATCGCATCTGTGCGGCAGTTTCTTTCATCAAGAGCGGCATCCCCTTCAGCTTCTGGGCTGCCTCCCCTCACAGCAACACCCTGGACCGTGACATGCCATGTGTTGTAAACCCGCTTGCGTTTTTTCCCCTTCCTTGCTGTTTCTCTCTCTCTCTCTTCCCCTCATGGCAGCTGTGCGGCAGCTTCATCAAGAACGACATCCCCATCAACTTCTGGGCCTACTTCCCTGACGGCACTCTCGATGGTAACTCCTCGTGCTCCTCTCTTTGCCACCCCTTCTTCCCCTTCTTCCCCTTCTTCCCCTTCTTCCCCTTCTTCCCCTTCTTCCCCTTCTTCCCCTTCTTCCCCTTCTTCCCCTTCTTCCCCTTCTTCCCCTTCTTCCTTTGCAATCTCTGCTTTTCTTCCCTGCTCCTCCTAACCTGACACCACATCACAGCTTGCTTAAGCTCTGCTGCCTCCTGTGGCTTTCCCACCTACAAGCACATACAGCCACTACCTTAAGTTCAGTGGCTTTCACTGCCGAAGTATTGGAAGCCGAAGCCCGTGGCATCCCACTTGTTGCCAGCCCTCAAGCAACTGCTTCGCTCTCTCTTTCCCGCGTTTTTGAGGCGCCTCAAAAATAGCCCGTGGCATCCCACTTGTTGCCAGCCCTCAAACAACTGCTTCGCTCTCTCTTTCCCGCGTTTTTGAGGCGCCTCAAAAATAGCCCTTGGCATCCCACTTGTTGCCAGCCCTCAAACAACTGCTTCGCTCTCTCTTTCCCGCGTTTTTTAGGCGCCTCAAAAATAGCCCGTGGCATCCCACTTGTTGCCAGCCCTCAAACAACTGCTTCGCTCTCTTTCCCGCGTTTTTGAGGCGCCTCAAAAATAGCCCGTGGCATCCCACTTGTTGCCAGCCCTCAAACAACTGCTTCGCTCTCTCTTTCCCGCGTTTTTGAGGCGCCTCAAAAATAGCCCGTGGCATCCCACTTGTTGCCTGCCCTCAAACAACTGCTTCGCTCTTGCAGGGTGTTTTTGAGAATTCTCAAAAACACCTTGCCAGCCCTCAAACAACTGCTTCGCTCTCTCTTTCCACTGTTCTCGCGGCTTCTCCCTCTCGGCCTATGGCAACCCTCACAGCACCATTGAGCCGTTGATAATGGACGTGCGCAAAGTCCCTCTGGAGCTCCTCTCGCTCTCACACCCTTACTCTCTCCCAAACCCTTAAAACCTTGTGCTCTTGTCTGTTTCCAGGCTCCCGCGGCTTCTCCCTGACATCCTACGGCAACCCCCCCAGCACCGTCGAGCCCTTCATCATCGATGAGTGCAGAGTCACCCCAGAGCTCCTCGTCTTCCCACCAGCCCGCTCTCACACCCTCATACCCTACTCATTACACTCCTCACTCCCCATTCTTTTTCTTTACCCTGTTGTCTGCAGGTTCCCGTGGCTTCTCCCTCACGTCCTATGGCAACCCCCCCAGCACCGTGGAGCCCTTCATCATCGATGAGCGCAGAGTCACCCCGGAGCTCCTCGTCTTCTGGATCACCAAGCGCCTCTTTGCGCAGAAGCTGCTCGCGCTTAACTAAGTAACGCGCAGAACACGACCGCCGTTGGTTGAGAGGAAACATAAAATGGTTTAGTTTTTCTTTTCTTTTCTTAGTACAAACAAGCCAGTGCCTTGTTGATGTACCAATCGTATAATTCTTTCCCTATTTAGATCATACAAATTCGTTCAAATTGTGGCGTTTGCCCATTTATTATGCATGGCCTTAGTACGATAGCACCCCTCTCCCATTTAGTGTACTGTACGTGAAAACAGTTATGTTACGTCGTGTAACCAGAGATTGATCCGTCGTCACTTCGCAAGTAGGCGTGGAGCCGAAAGACTGAACAGGCGTTTGTTTGGGCCGTAGTCCGAACTTGTCAAAAGGTTGGAAGCGGTGTAGTCAGGCACTCGCAAGGTACAGTACGGTTAATGCTCGAAGGGGAGGTGTTCGAACGCCTTTCGTTTCATCGATTCACAGATTTCTCTTGGATACCAACACCTTTGTCAGTAGCACCAACACATGCCACAAATCCCAAGGAGAGGTCATGGCTGTCGCATCCGCTGCGCTCTTCCCCGTCGCATCCTCGTCGCACGCTCTCGCATTCCCTCGCTTACTAGCTTCGTCGCACGTGACCCAGCACCGTTCCCTTCCGCCATCTCGCTCCCGTCCGAGCGAGCCGCGCTCCCCCCATGGCGCGCATCTGCTCTCCGCGCACTGCGCCCACCGCTGTCTCTCTGCTCCCCGCCTTGATGCCGCCAGCAGCGGCGGTTTTGCGCGAGCGCATCTAGCTCGATGGAAGCAGGTTGAGGCGGAGGCTGGTTGCGGGGGAGGGCGGAAACGCGGCGGATGGGAGGGGGTGGGGGGATTAAGAGGCGAGGGGCAATGGGCATGCGACGGGCGACGGATGAGCGACGTGCGGTGGGTCTGCGACAGGCGGTGGCTGTGCGACGGGCGATGGCTGCATGATGCCATACAACCGGAGAGCTCGTTACAAGCAGCCTCGATAGGATATTCAAAACAAATTCAAGGTAGCGGAGGGCCACGAGCGGCGATGGGTGCGCGGAGCGAACTCCTGCTTGGGCGGAGGGGAGAAGCGCCGCCAGCGCGCGGACAGACACTGGGGCGGAGAGGGGCGGTTAGAGTGAGGGCGCGGGGGTGGTGGGGAAACGGGGGGATGCGCCAGGCTGCGGAGGAGCTAGCAGCGGAGGTGGGGGAAGAGGCGGAACTGTGGGGGCGGGGCGGGGAGGAGAGTGCGGATGGGGGGAAAGAGGACGAGCGGAGGCGGGATGGGGGGGTTGCGAAGAGGGGGGGGATGGGTAATCCTGTAGGGTGGGTGGGGCAGAGAGAAGCAGGTGGCGTGGGAAACATGGGGGGTGGTGCGGAGGAGAATAGCCATGAGGGCAACAATCCAGAGGGCAGGAGGCGGCGGAAGAGAATGCAGGCGGAGATGACGGGCAGCAAAGGGGAGAGTAGCAGCGGAAGTTGGAGCGCGGGGGGAAGCACAGGGGGAGGGGTGAGGGAGGAAATGGTGGTGCCGTCAGCGGCAGTGCTGCTGCTGCAGGGGCTAACGGCAGAGGCGAGGTGGGGGCTGCTGGATGCGTGCACGCAGGCTCTAATAGAACAGGTGGGGCTCTTTTGCAGCAGGTAATGCTTTCTTGTGCTGCGCTGAAGTGCTGCAGGAAGAGGTAATACTCTCTGCTCGCTCCGGTAGGCGCTGTGCTGCAGTGCTGCAGGAACGGACTGCAGAGGCGAGACGTGAGCTGCTAGATGCATGCACGCATGCAGGCTATAACAGAACAGGTGAGACGCTTCGTGTAACTTGGTATGGGGCTCATGGCTCGCGTGACCTTTGTGGGCTAGCGCTTCAGTGGTGCAATGCTGCAGTGGTGCAATGCTGCAGTGGTGCAGTGCTGCAGTGGTGCAATGCTGCAGTGGTGCAGTGGTGCAGTGCTGCAGTGGTGCAATGCTGCAGTGGTGCAGCGCCGCAGTGGTGCAATGCTGCAGTGGTGCAATGCTGCAGTGGTGCAGTGGTGCAGTGGTGCAATGCTGCAGTGGTGCAGTGGTGCAATGCTGCAGTGCTGCAGTGGTGCAGTGCTGCAGTGGTGCAATGCTGCAGTGGTGCAGTGCCGCAGTGGTGCAATGCTGCAGTGGTGCAATGCTGCAGTGGTGCAATGCTGCAGTGGTGCAATGCTGCAGTGGTGCAATGCTGCATTGGTGCAGTGGTGCAATGCTGCAGTGGTTTGGTGGTGCAATGCTGCAGTGGTGAAGTGCTGCAGTGGTGCAATGCTGCAGTGGTTCAGTGCTGCAGTGGTTCAGTGCTGCAGTGGTGTGGTGGTGCAATGCTGCAGTGGTGCAATGCTGCAGTGGTGCAGTGCTGCACTGGTGCAGTGCTGCAGTGGTGCAATGCTGCAGTGGTGCAATGCTGCAGTGGTTCAGTGCTGCAGTGGTGTGGTGGTGCAATGCTGCAGTGGTGCAATGCTGCAGTGGTGCAATGCTGCAGTGGTTCAGTGCTGCAGTGGTGCAATGCTGCAGTGGTGCAATGCTGCAGTGGTGCAATGCTGCAGTGGTGCAATGCTGCAGTGGTTCAGTGCTGCAGTGGTGTGGTGGTGCAATGCTGCAGTGGTGCAGTGCTGCAGTGGTGCAGTGCTGCAGTGGTGCAGTGCTGCAGTGGTGCAATGCTGCAGTGGTGCAGTGCCGCAGTGGTGCAATGCTGCAGTCGTGCAATGCTGCAGTGGTGCAGTGCTGCAGTGGTGCAATGCTGCAGTGGTGCAATGCTGCATTGGTGCAGTGGTGCAGTGGTGCTGCGGTGCAATGCTGCAGTGGTGCAATGCTGCAGTGGTGCAATGCTGCAGTGGTGCAGTGCTGCAGTGGTGCAATGCTGCAGTGGTGCAGTGCTGCAGTGGTGCAGTGCTGCAGTGGTGCAATGCTGCAGTGGTGCAATGCTGCAGTGGTTCAGTGCTGCAGTGGTGTGGTGGTGCAATGCTGCAGTGGTGCAATGCTGCAGTGGTGCAATGCTGCAGTGGTGCAATGCTGCAGTGGTTCAGTGCTGCAGTGGTGCAATGCTGCAGTGGTGCAATGCTGCAGTGGTGCAATGCTGCAGTGGTGCAATGCTGCAGTGGTTCAGTGCTGCAGTGGTGTGGTGGTGCAATGCTGCAGTGGTGCAGTGCTGCAGTGGTGCAATGCTGCAGTGGTGCAATGCTGCAGTGGTGCAGTGCCGCAGTGGTGCAATGCTGCAGTGGTGCAATGCTGCAGTGGTGCAATGCTGCAGTGGTGCAATGCTGCATTGGTGCAGTGGTGCAGTGGTGCTGCGGTGCAATGCTGCAGTGGTGCAATGCTGCAGTGGTGCAATGCTGCAGTGGTGCAGTGCTGCAGTGGTGCAATGCTGCAGTGGTGCAGTGCTGCAGTGGTGCAGTGGTGCAATGGTGCAATGCTGCAGTGGTGCAATGCTGCAGTGGTGAAGTGCTGCAGTGGTGTGGTGGTGCAATGCTGCAGTGGTGCAATGCTGCAGTGGTGCAATGCTGCAGTGGTGCAGTGCTGCAGTGGTGCAATGCTGCAGTGGTGCAGTGCTGCAGTGGTGCAGTGGTTTGGTGGTGCAATGCTGCAGTGGTGAAGTGCTGCAGTGGTGCAATGCTGCAGTGGTTCAGTGCTGCAGTGGTTCAGTGCTGCAGTGGTGTGGTGGTGCAATGCTGCAGTGGTGCAATGCTGCAGTGGTGCAATGCTGCATTGGTGCGGTGGTGCAATGCTGCAGTGGTTTGGTGGTGCAATGCTGCAGTGGTGAAGTGCTGCAGTGGTGCAATGCTGCAGTGGTTCAGTGCTGCAGTGGTTCAGTGCTGCAGTGGTGTGGTGGTGCAATGCTGCAGTGGTGCAATGCTGCAGTGGTGCAATGCTGCAGTGGTTCAGTGCTGCAGTGGTTCAGTGCTGCAGTGATGTGGTGGTGCAATGCTGCAGTGGTGCAATGCTGCAGTGGTGCAATGCTGCAGTGGTTCAGTGCTGCAGTGGTGTGGTGGTGCAATGCTGCAGTGGTGCAATGCTGCAGTGGTGCAATGCTGCAGTGGTTCAGTGCTGCAGTGGTTCAGTGCTGCAGTGATGTGGTGGTGCAATGCTGCAGTGGTGCAATGCTGCAGTGGTGCAATGCTGCAGTGGTTCAGTGCTGCAGTGGTGTGGTGGTGCAATGCTGCAGTGGTGCAATGCTGCAGTGGTGCAATGCTGCAGTGGTTCAGTGCTGCAGTGGTGCAATGCTGCAGTGGTGCAATGCTGCAGTGGTGCAATGCTGCAGTGGTGCAATGCTGCAGTGGTTCAGTGCTGCAGTGGTGTGGTGGTGCAATGCTGCAGTGGTGCAATGCTGCAGTGGTGCAATGCTGCAGTGGTTCAGTGCTGCAGTGGTGTGGTGGTGCAATGCTGCAGTGGTGCAATGCTGCAGTGGTGCAATGCTGCAGTGGTTCAGTGCTGCAGTGGTGCAATGCTGCAGTGGTGCAATGCTGCAGTGGTGCAATGCTGCAGTGGTGCAATGCTGCAGTGGTGCAGTGCTGCAGTGGTGCAATGCTGCAGTGGTGCAATGCTGCAGTGGTGCAATGCTGCAGTGGTTCAGTGCTGCAGTGGTGCAATGCTGCAGTGGTGCAATGCTGCAGTGGTGCAATGCTGCAGTGGTTCAATGCTGCAGTGGTTCAGTGCTGCAGTGGTGCAATGCTGCAGTGGTGCAATGCTGCAGTGGTGCAGTGCTGCAGTGGTGCAATGCTGCAGTGGTGCAGTGCTGCAGTGGTGCAGGGACGGACGGCAGAGTGGAGATGGGGGCTGCTAGATGGATGCATGCATGCACGCAGGCTCTAATAGATCAGGTAAGTCGGGTCGTGTATCTAATCGCTTTGTTTAGGTACGGGGCTCCTTCGTGGCTCTTGTGGCCCTTGCGCCTTCTCTGGAGCAGTGATCCTGCTGTAGGGGCTGACAGCAGAGGCGAGATGGGGGCTAATGGGCGCGTGCACGCAGGCTTTAGTTGATCAGGTAGGGCTCTCTGCCAACAGGTACGGGGGCCATGAATCTTGTGGGTTTGATGGTGCAGTGATGCAGTGGTGCGCCATCCCTTCCTCCATTCCTCACTACTCTTCCCTGTGCTCACCATCTCACCTTCCTCCCTTTCCTCCCCCCCCCGCCTCCCCTCCCTATTCCCCCCTTCTTCTGCCCTCCCCGGGCCTTCCCCCCTCTCCCCCGCTCCCCCACCCTTCCCCAGGCCAGTGCGATCGACAGGAAGGCGCGCCAGCTGTCGCGACAGGACTGGTCCACGTATTGCACGGACGTGATAGGCCGGGCAGTGCTGATGTCAGCACGCCAGTGGCAGCAGCAAGTGATGGGCGGCGGCAGCGGCAGTGCCAGCAGTAGGAGGGAGAGAGAGCAAGGGAGCGAGTTGGCACGGAGAGGGGGTTTGTTGGGTGAAGAGGAACGGCTGCTGGCAGGCAGGGGTTGGGGGGGCGAGGGGCAGAGGGTAGGGGCTGCAGAGGCGGAAGCGGTGGCAGTGAGTGAATGGCAAGCGAGGGAGTCGTGGGTGCGAGGGGAGGCGGTGAGGGGGGCGGTGGAGGGCGGCAGATGGGCACTGTACTGCCAGCTGATGGACAATCTCAGATTCAACCAGCCAGGTGGATCTGATAGGTGAGGCTGGCAGGTTACTCTCTCAAACCTTGGCTCTTAGAAAATATCATATTTAGAGTATTAGGAAAGATCCTGGAGCCTCAAAAAACTTTCCTGCCCGCCACCTGTCTGCCTTGTCTGAGGTTTTTTATAATTCTTTTTTTGAGGCGCCTCAAAAAACTTTCCTGCCCGCGACCTCTTTGCCTTGTCCGAGGTTTTCTAGAATTCTAAAAAATCTCTCCACGCTGAAGGCGAGCAGAGAGGAGGGCGGGGAGCAGATGGGTGCTGGACGACCTAGTGGTTGAGACAGCAGAGGCGACCCCGCTGGCAGTGATAGAGGAGGCGAGCAGAGAGGAGGGCGGGGAGCAGATGGGGCTTGCTGTGCAACTTTGACTCTTTGAGGCCTCAAATGCTGTCATGAGCACTTCTCTCCCCCCTCCCGCCTCCAGCCGTGTCGCTGCTCTGGTGCTGGACGACCTAGTGGTTGAGACAGCAGAGGCGGCCCTAATGGCAGTGATAGAGGAGGTGAGCAGAGAGGAGGGCGGGGAGTGGACGGGGCTCGCCTTGACTGGGTTTGACTCCCTTGAAGAAGACTACAGCGATGGGAACAGGCAGGAGGGCGATATGGGGCGAAATGGGAGCACAGGAGGTTGGCTGGGGGGGAGGGAGGGGGGGGAATGGGATTGGGGGAGCAACAGCAGCAGCAGCAGCAGCAGCAGCAATAGCAGCAGCAGCAGCAACACAAGGAGGGGTGTGAGCATGGGTGCGGTGCTGTCGTTGTTTCGAGAGGAGTATCGGTCGTCCCGCCGCTTCGACAAGTTCAGAAATGAGGTGAGATGCGCTTGTAGGATGGAAGGGATGAGGTGAGACCAGGAGGACATGCATGATGCAGTCCAATGCCTCTAGTTTATTGCCCCTCACTGCCTCATTTATTGCCTGGATTCTGTCCGTGTCACACAGCCTTATTACCAAGGCAAGTGAGCCTTCAAGCCATCTAAACGCTCTCTGCCCCTGTGCCCCCCACCCCTCCCACCTCCTCCGGTTCCAACCTTCCTCCTCATCTCCTATACCACGCTCCAGGTGGCGCTGCGCAAGTGGCTGCATCGCAATTTCACATCTGTAGTCGCCATTTTCGAAGACCGCTTTCAGCTCTGGGGGCTCCGCCGATCCTCGCCCCTCCCCACGTCAACCCCTCGCACCTTAGGCATCCCCACCGTTTCCGCTGCTCTTCTCCACCTCTTACCACACTCCCTGCCCTCCTCGTCCTCTCAGCAGCCTGCGCAGCTGCATCCCGTGTCTTTTCCCAACGACTTCAGCAGCACGCCCAGTGCAAGGGACCCCCGGGGCTGGCTGCAGCAGCTGCTGGGGAGGAGGCCGGGCAGTGATGCAGCAGCATTGGGGCCGAGTGATGGTGCAGCAGTGCACGTGGTGGGGGCAGGGGTGGGTGAAGAGGGGGGCATGGGGAGAGTAAGTGGCGCAAGGCAGTGGTGGCAGGGGAAGAGGAGGGCGGAGGGGGAGCAGCAGGGGCGGGTGGGTGGGCCCGTGGGTCTCATTCGGCGGAGCGTGGTGGGAAACAGACGGAGGGAGCTGCGACAACTGAAAGGATGGTGAGAGGCATGGGGGGTTTGATGGGGTGCAAAATGAGATTGGACATGGAATGCTGGGCTTGGGGTGTTGGACATGGGGTGTTGGGCATGGGGTGTTGGGCATGGGGTGTTGGGCATGGGGTGTTGGGCATGGGGTGTTGGGCATGGGGTGTTGGGCATGGGGTGTTGGGCATGGGGTGTTGGGCATGGGGTGTTCGGCATGGGGTGTTGGACATTCATCAAGGCCCATCTCATGATTCCATGGAAAGGCCGGTGCTGCAAGTCGCCACCGTATTTCATACTCCCTATAATGCCTCTTTATCCCTTGTATTATTTCATTGTTCTCCTGTCAACAGGAAGCTGCTGGTGGTGCTGGCAATGGAGCTGGCGGATTTGCTCCTTCCCCTCATGAAGGCCGCCATCACAGCAGCAGGCAGAGCCATCTCCTTTCTCCTCGTCGCTCTCATCGGTCGGTCCCTGGGCCTCATGTACCGTGGCATAATGCAGAGTTGGGGTGAGGCACTCTAGTTTCACAGATTCACTGAATTAACCTGTACAGCCCCGCTAGAAGTTTGAGCTTCAGGATTTGTTCGAGCAAAATGTATCACGATTCATACCCTAAAAACATGAAGTACATGTCAGAAACTAGCTTAGCTAGGAAGCCATAGAATGGCACAAGGTTTAGCTAGGAGCTAGGAGGAGCCATGAGAATGGCTAGTGGTGATTGCAATGATCTCCCAAATGTAGAGCGTAAAATAACATTGAATCAATGGTTTTTTTCACATTTTCTGGAATATTGAGCGAAGAAAGTTCCGCAGTCCTAAGAAGGTTTCGTGGAATCTCGTGCTTGTTGTGTGGTGAAACAAATGTAGATGACTTTGTGTTAGAGAGAGGAGAGGACATTTTAAGAGTCCTTTAGGTCAGGCGGAAGAGACTTATTAAATTAGCTTACTACTAGAATAGATCCTTGATTACGCAGCAAAGAGTCTGCTCCTATTGCACCCCATTTTTCTCTCTTCTTCCTCGTCATTTTCTTGGGCCTTCCAGTTTACGTTGGGTTGGGACCCTTGTTCCGTGAAAAGTAGTTCTCCAGGCCCAGTTCGGCCGCCAGGGCGGAATGCACAGAGAACCCTACGATGGGCAGCTTCCACTGAAGCCAGGGCTGCCGTCCGACGGCTCAGAGGGGGGGTGCTCACCTACCGCCTGAATCGCTGCTGGGGTCCGCGCAGGTGCATCTGTCACCTGCGCGCAAGGGAAAACAAACTCCGCGGGGCGGAAGTGTTGGAAGCCCTACTGCAGCTGCGGGCAGCTAGGCGTTGACTGGCTTATGTCGGTGCACCGATTGCCTGGCAGCTGCGGGTTGGCGTGACCAAGGTGCACGGACTGATCCTTGCAACCGAAGACTAAGTCTAGTCTATGTGGACTGGTCCGGAGATGCCCACGACGACTAGTAACTCTGACGAGTCTTGGGGAGTCGTAGCTATCGCGATGGACTTCCATGCGGAGCAAGGCAGCTTTTGGCTTGCTGGTTGGAGTTGCGTACACGGCAAACCCAACCTTGCTGAGTTGGGTGGGGGAATTGGGCGATGCGCGTTCGCCCAACCCTTCGGCAATTTCGGGGTGGTTGGTTACACCCGCAGCGCCATGCAATTTTGGTTGGGTTTGCACTTGCCTATATATTTGCATGCTTGTTTGTACTTTGAATATATACTTTTCTAGTAAACTTCTACTCTATTCGAATTTTGTCTAAGTACTTGAAGGCGAACTCTGCCCAAATACCAGTAGCGCCTAGCACGCTATTCCGATACCGTTACTCTGTCAGAATCGCTCTACACTTTACAAGCTCTCTCGCTTTAGCATTTCTTTTTGGTGCGGTGAACGTGGAACGAACATGCACGTTATCTATTTTCACCGTCGTCGATCTACTACGTTCGTTCGTTCGTATTGGAGGTTGCAGCTATAGCAGAGGACTATCGTTGGTGTAAGTTGCGATTTATTTAATTTCCCTCCAGTTACATCCTCGGATCCAAAGATAGGGCTTTTGGTATTTACTCACCATTCGCCTGAGGACCCTTGTAAGGTGACCCCGAGATGAGGGAATTAAGTAAATAGCAGTTTATACTAGTTGATAGTTGGTCTGTAGAAGAGCCGCAGTAATGGCAAACGTGGAGGAGGCGAATGTTGACGTCACTGAACTGCACGGGCTAGAGGCGATTCTTCATACACGTCGATCTCGCAGAGAGCTTAATGATGAGGATTATGAGCTAATGCTGGAAGAGATACGAGAGAGGTGGCGACGTGACCATCCTTCTCTTCCGGTAGCGGAGAACGCGCAAGCTGGAATTTCACAAGGTGCGTTGGCGACGTCTAGCGACGATGATGATAGAGCTAGTGTAGCGAGCGAGCGGCGTTTTGCTCGTGGCGTTCTTAGAGGAAACGTACGCGGTAGCACTGCTAGTATGGGTGGCGTTCAGGATCATGTGCATCAAGCGGCAGCATCGCGCGACCGCGACGAGATAGGGTGGCGAAGCGTTTTTGGAGGAGGACATGTAGAGGAGCGCGATAGTGACATTATGCCCGGCATTATACCGCAAAGCTCTGCGGCAAGAGACGCCGGGATAGCGCCTGACTATGGCTACTTAAATTCACTCCATACAAGATCGCCGTTCCTAGGCCGTTAGAAGGGCGTCACGACCCGTTATCTCGGGTAGAATCGATTGAGCCTCAGCTCGAGATAGCTCAGCTCAAACGCTTTAACGACGGCTCCACCCCTACTCCTACGAAGCACGCAGTAGCACTTCTCTCACAATTCCAAGCTGCTCAGTTATTGACGTTTACGACTATTTCTCGTTGTTTCTCCCCCCAAGTGCAAGTCGACCTTAAAGCGTGCCGCTTGAAGGTAGATGTCAGGTTGCAAGCCTGGCAGTTCATCATGTGAACGTACGTGGCGAAGGACGACTTGTATCCAGGTCAGTTAGAGCAAGCGCTCACTAACCTCGAGATGGGCGAGCACGATTCCGCCATGTCTTACTTCAACCGTGCACAACAGCTTCTCGTAAATCTAAGAATGGCCGGCGTAGACTACTCGCAGGTGTCGTACATTACCCACGTTGTAAAGGGGTTGCCGCAGCAGTATAACCTCTTACGTCATATGTTGAAGCTGTCGCAGGTGCGCGGCGAGTTAGACGACGACACCCTCGCTAGTTACATCATAGAGAAGGAATGCACTTGGCAGCAGAAGGGCGAAAGGAATTCTTCCCTCCCTAGGAAAACCTCACCTTCCCAACGAGGTTTGGCAAGCCATCATTTCTCCCAAAGCAAGATTCGCTTCCTGCCCCTTCCCCATACACTCCTCTACAACAGCCATCGGTAAAGCAGTCAAGCGGGGGTGGAGAAGGAGAGGGAAAGGGAAAAGGGGCGAAAGGGTAAGTGCAGAAAGAGGGGAGAAAGCCTTTCAAGGGGAAATGCTATTCGTGTGGCCAGCCAGGGCATGTCGCTTTCCATTGCCCAGAGCGCAAGGACAAGGTAGCGCAGAAGGGGCAAGGGAGTGGGGGTGCCAGTGGGGGTGGCGGCAACTGCAAGGAAGGCAGCAGTTCGGGGGGCGGAGGGCAGTCTGTCTGCGCGATGGTGGAACCAATCCTAGTACAGCAGTCTTCGATCTTACTGGAGCCGGAGGCCGGGGAAGGCTTGCAGGCTATTGCAACTGCTGTGAAAGCCAACCCGAGTGTTGTGCTTTTGGACAGTGGCTGTTCCTACCACTTGATGGGAGATCGGGCGGCATTTGGGGAGCCGATCAGTGATAGTTCCATCAGCCAGGTTCGCGGGTTCAACGGCGCGATATAGCCAGTACAAGGGAGGGGCACCATTGCTCTCCTGGGAGAGGGGGACAAGCGTGTCTCGGTACCGGACGTGCTGTATGTTCCGGGGGTATAGGCTAGTTTTCTCTCCTCAGGGCAGCTGAGTGCAGATGTCGGATACAGGGGAGCGGACACTCATGCGTGCATCTGATGGCTCCCTCCTGGGGCGTGCGGAATTCAAGGGGCGAGTGCTGTGTACCGACTTCCAGCCGTGGCTTGCTGAGCGTGCTGTGGGCGAGACAGCGGCACTTCAGGCGTTGGCCTCCGGCATGCGATCGTCGGCTGACATATGGCACGCTCGCCTCGCACACGTTGGTGTTGAGACCATTCGGCGTACTGCAGCTCATGGGTCAGTGATGGGCTTGGAGCTAGAGAAAGGGAGAAAGTCGGGACTGCCTCGCGTTTCTTGTGTGGGTGGGAAGATTACTCGTCATACCTTCCCTCCCATGGGTGGCAAGGAAGATGAGGTGCTTGGAGTTGTGCATGCAGACCTCTGCGAAATCTTTCGGGAGCGGGCCAAGGATGGGAGCCGTTACTTCCTGGTGCTGAAGGATCGGAAGTCCCAGTATGTCTGGGTCTACACGCTGGCGCAGAAGAGTGACGCCTTGGCTGCCTTCGAGAAGGGGCTACCCTTAGCGGAGCGGCAGTGTGAGATGCAGGTGAAGGCCTTGCGCTCTGCGAGCCGCCGTGCCGCCGAGCCGCCGTGTCCCCGAGCCGCTGAGCACCCGCACCGCCGAGCCACCAAGCCGCCGTGCCGCCGAGCCGCTGTACCGCCGAGCCGCCGTGCCACCGTGTCCCGGAGCCGCCGCGCTGCCGTTCCGCCGAGCCGTCGAGCCGCCGAGTCGCTGGCCCGCTGAGCCGCTGTGCCGCTGTCACACTGTGCGATGGCAGACGCCGTACTTCGCTTGGACGCTGAGGGGCACGCGACCGACTTCGCCACCTGGCTCGTCGACCTCCACCGGCACCTGACTGGTTAGCTCCAGGATGGGCACTCCCTGGCTCTGCATATTGATGGTTTGCTTCCCCACCCCCCTACGCCTGATCCCCTCCCTGCTGCTGCGCTTGCTCGAGCTGTCTGGGATTCTCGCGACGCAATAGCCCAGCTGCCATTAGCCATGCCCTCCCCCTATCTGAGCGTCCGCGCTTTACCGCTGTCGCGAACGCCAAGGACTTTCTCACTGCAGTAGTTGAGCGTTACTCCACACCTGCTTCCGCCTGTGCTGGCCGCTTGATCCTACCCATGCTCTTCCCTGATCTTTCTGCTTTCCCCACGGTAGCTGACCTCGCTACTCACCTTCGTGCACTAGAGACCAGCTACCGCGCTGCTAGCTCTGCCGCCCAGCTTACTGCCTTCCCCCCACCTTTCTGCGCTACCCTGTACCTCATCGCCATGCACCTGCCTGACCGCTTAGCCACTGCCCGCGACCTCTTCCTTAGTCAGCACCTTACCGACCTCACCCTGACCGCCTTTGTCACTACTCTGTCTGAGATAGAGACTCGCCAGCGCACTATCGCTAAGTCGAGCGGTGTTGTGGCAGTCCCTATATTTCAGGGATGTGCCCCCTCCCATTGCACGTACGCTGACGTCTTTGATGCAGTTGCCATGACTACGCCTGCACCTGAGACAGCAGCTGCGGCGTACCCGCAGCAGCGCCAGCGCCGGGGCCGCCGTGGCCCCAAGGGAGGACGTGGAGGTGGCGCTAGTGGTGGTGGTGGCGGGGAGAGTGGTTCTGACGAAGGGGTTGGTGCTGGTGCCCAGGAGTAGCAGCAGATGCCGCAGTCACAGCTGCCACAGTAGCAGCAGCCGTCCCAGCAGCAGCAGCAGCAGCAGCCGCAGCAGAAGCAGCAGCAGCTGTGGGCTCGTCTCCCGCCCGGGTGGCCAGGAGCCCCTAGCGGTGGTGGTCGTGGTGGTGGCCC